GATATCACCTGTGATGTAAATCACTGTTTGTTTTTTAGACAACAGTATTAAACAGCAACACAGATCCTACAGGATGTGCTCGTCCTGCTTTTTTTTTTGTTATTGTTGCACACTGTACGATATGAAATAGCCCACCAGCTGAAGGCTTTCAGTACATCAGCTTCATTTGTGCCAATACAGATAAGCTGAAGTTCACTTCAGCTGAACCTGCTGGGTGACACATGATTTGGATTTAACATTTTTTCCCTTTCTCCCGCTCTTCTGTTTTATCTCACAGAATCAACGCAAGACAAAAAATGAAGGTCTCGAGGACAGAGTTAAGGTTGATGTGGCTCCTCTATTTTATATATTTATAGTTTTTTTTTTAAGTTTATATATTTTTTAGAATGGGATAAACTTTACTCGACACCAGAGTTATTCTTGTGACAGTGCCAGTGTTCAGGCAAACAAAGGGCGATGCCAAAGGCAAACAAGTGATAAAAATCACAATGACAAAGAAGAAAAGTGCCTATTTTTGTTTGTTTATTTAAAATCTGGAAATACTGTTACTATATTTATTTTTTAATAATATTATAATATTTATAATTTAAAACAAACACCAGACCATATTTTCATGAAGTACAATCCCAGTGAAGTAAGAGATGTTTGAAGGTCCTTAACACTCAGAGTCTCATTCATAAAAGCAACCTTTGACTTATTCTGGATTTTTCAGAGCATTTGTAACCAGTGTTACATCAACATGGAGGTCTGGGTGCTGACTGATTATGAGTTGGAGAGATATTTCTTATCCAAAATAAATCAATGTACATTTTGCAGTCCTTAAGAAAGAGGCTCATTCTGGCTTATTGAGGGGCTTGGCTATTACTACTAACAGCTCTTTGAGAAAAAAACCCAACCAGAGACACACCTCAGTCAATCTGTCAGTAACGCTGTGTGAACTTCCTTGGCAGACACAGCGTTAACAGTGTGTTCTGCTGTGTGTCTGAGCAGTGAGACAGTACGCAGACCATCCAAAGATCATGTGCTGTTAGTTGGCAAACTAAGTGGAACCTTAATTTAGCTTCCTAGGAACGACAAAGAAACGTTGCGCCTGAAAACTATCACTTCATAACAATAAGTGTGTTTGTATAGCACTTTTCAAGACACAGAGTTACGTAGCACGTCACAGTTTGGATAAAATGCACACTTTAAAGTATACATGTTCAAATACAGACATACAGACACGTAATCAGCCATGTGGTCAGGCATGCATTCCAACATGCATATTTCCATACATACAAAGAGCTGTAAACGACGGCCCAAAATAAAGAGGAAAAGATTAAGAGAAAGCTAACCAATAAAAATGTGTTTTCAGCTGTTGTTTAAAACTAATAATGGAATCGGCTGACCTGATAGGCTGAGGAAGGCTGTTCCCCAGTTTGGGTGCCACAACCTTAAAGCATGAGCGCCTCTCATTTTAAAAGTAGAGCGAGGAATAGTTAGGAGACTCTGGTTAGAGGATCAGAGACACCGGCTGCAGTGATAAAGTTTAAAAGGCTCTGCTATATAAGCAGGGACCTGTCCATGTGGAGCCTTATATGCTAACAGCAAAGATTCCTAGCTTCACTGGAAGTCAGTGAAGGGATACTTACTATGTGTGAACAACTTGGTATAGCAGCCTACTCAAACATGGTATATATGATGCAAGAAGCTTCTAGAGAGTATATAAATGGAGCAAGAGTTTAGTGTACTATGGATTGAATTTACAATACTGTGTTGCTGTGACTTCTCTGGTGGGCTCTTCCCTAATTGAGTGTATTGGCAGTGTCCCTTTTTCTGACTGGATTTTGAAGCTCAATTTGATACATTTTCTGCCAATTTGTTCCCAAAAAACTTTATATTGGGGTTTTATTCACAGAGGCAACGATCCAACTCTCTAAACTGAGAAATGATAATAATAACCTCATGTCACTTGACATTAAGGGCAAAAGTTGAGGTTGTGGTAATCTGTCAGCCCGCTCGTGAAGACCGAGGGACCCTCGGCTGTTTTTAATGAATGTAGACAGGTTTACTGTGATAAGATTAAATCAACCTAAATCTTACCTTAATCTTATTAAAAGTGCCCACCCCAAAGCAGCAGCGACAGGCAAGGACTAGAAACAGTGGCAATACATGAGACAGATGGCTCTCGTGCAAACACGGCTTCATTATTAGGCTGTCGATCTAGCTCAAGGGATTAGTTCGGTTACAAAAACGGTCACTTAAAACAAAATCGTATAAAGGAAATGCAGTGAAACATCGCACCGCATATTAACGCACAGAGGGTTCACATCGTTTTTTTAGGGTGACAGTTCAGGGGTACCAGTTTGTGGCAACCTGCACCTGCTCCACATGATCGGCAAACTTTCGAACCTGCACACACAGCACCGTGAAACACTTCTTACCGCTTCTGTGGCGCAAATTTCCCCGAAGAGTCCAAATGATTCCGGTTTCTGTTTTGGGGTGGGGGGCGAACACCAAAGGACACTTTAGCGGCTCCGTCAGACCCTGCTCACACTGTGGCGGTATAAAATGATCCGTGATGCTGCCGGTCACAGTACCAGCTCAACACGAGTCTGGAAATAAGACAAGCAAACCAGCGACGGGTGTAATCTGAATCAAAACCCCGTGTCTGTTCACAAAAACTTGTGCCGCTTTCTTACTTCCTCGGCAAGAGTGAGCGAATGTGTGGCGCTTGAAACAAAGCTGCTGACCGAGCACAGCTGAATACAAGCGGGAAAAACTCACTACATACTTCCGGTCTGTGAGATTTCAAAATAAAATACTTAATGTCAGTATTCGTTGTCAAACTACATGAGGTGAACCTCCGTTGACGAAATATCGACTAGAACATGCAGTAAAATCAGTATAAATTTTATAAATGGCTCGTGTGTCGAAGATAAATTAGATCTAAATGAAAATAAATCAAATCTGAATTGAAATTAAATTTATCTGACAAACCATAGATTTATATTACACCGATCTTCTTCACATTTCAGAGGACATAAAAAACTATAATTAACATAATACAACGGATAGTGAGAAAAATCATTTACCTAGACAATGTCTGATTTTTTTCTTCTTCCCCATTTTCATTTTCAGAGTAGGACTTTACTTATTTTCTTGTTTATATTACAGTGTATGGACACATACACATTTTTCATAAATTTAAGTGGCATTGCATAGGAGTTACTATTTCATTCCCAGATGAACAGAATCAACTTTTTGGGATTTACTTACATTGATGATTGAGCATGCACCAAGACAATCTATTTCATTGAACCAGGAAAGTTGTCATTGTGTATTTACAAAGTTCAAGGGTCAAGGTTCTTTATTTGTCACATGCATAGTTATACAAGTATAACACACAGTGAAATGTAACCTGACACGCTCCTCGACATGTGCAAAAAT